GAAGTTCATAGCGCAGAAAGGGGAAAATATCAGTCAAAGTCCAAAATATCCTACAGCTATTACCTCAACAACTGCAAGAGATCACTCGGAGGTTGACAGGGAAGGTGGTTAATACTGTCCCTCTGCCTGGAAAAAAGACCACAGTTGCTTGTCTTTTGCAGCAATTTATATAGGGTACCAGGGGCTGATCCAGCTACAGGCAATTAATGCCCCCAATACACTGTGCCAGCTAGATCCAGCAACTTATGTGGAAGGAGAGATCACAAATATATCAGGGAAAAAAGCAGGATGTGAATTCCTAAGCCAGTGCTTCCTATGTGTTGGTCCTGTTCCAATTCCACAGGGCATGCTGGCAATCTTCTCTTTCTAGCTAGCCGTATGGTGGTGTGCTATGGCTTGCCTGGACAACAGCTATAATCCTGGAGCACCTGTCCTATAGGAAGGCACAGTGTCTTTTATATGGGAACTCAGAGCTCAGTCCTCTAACTTGTAATGAGCTTATGTTCCCTGCAAGTGAAGAGGGGGAAGCAAAGGTGGCTCTGACTCGCATCGGCTGGACCAGTCCACCATTCTGTTGGCCCAGGAAGAATGCAGCACGCTCCAGCCATGGCCCCGATCACTCAGAAAAACCTCTATAAACGGAGGTTGGAAGTGCACACTAGCTTTGTGCTACTGAAGGCTCTCTCTGACCTGGAGATCTCCAGTTGTCCTAGTGGGGCAGCTTTAATTCCCACATGCACACAGGGAATTTAGGATGGCTTGAGGATCTGGCCCTTTGGTTTTTCAGCTGGAAACACCCTTCAGCTCAGAAGAGCCCAGTTCCAGGACTGTACTTGAACAACGAGTTCTAGGCTAGCTGAAAGGACAGCTACTAGCATGGGCTGTCTATGACCTAATTACTTCAATTCTAAATCAAATGATTTAAATAATGAAATCAGGGAATGAAGAGCATAGACTCATAGACAGAAGAGATCATTTACATGATACCGTCAATGATCAAAATAAGCACAGGATGAAGAACCAATGTAGAATTAGAAACCTCTAACTCCTAACAAGAGATTGTACATATCCTAATGCTACATAGTCAAGTTATCCTTGCAACAGATTTAGGAGCTATTACAGTAGTGTCTTGTAATAAAAACCAGCAGACAAGGTGTTTCAATTGTTGCCATGAATGATAAAGGAGATGGAGGTGATGTGTTGCAGCTCCTGAATTATATGGATTACTATCAAGATTAAACATAGAGTCTATGTTTTGTAGGATCAAGAGATTAATGATGTTTTATAATAATATATGGAGATATACCTATTTCATAGAACTGGAAGGGATCCTAAAAGGTCATTGAGTCCAAGCCCCTGCCTTCACTAGCAGGATCAAGTACTGATTTTTGCCCCAGATCCCTAAATTGCCCCCTCAAATATTGAACTCATAACCCTGGGTTTAGCAGGCCAATGCTCAAACCACTGAGCTATCCCTCCCCCCTTGCTCTGAATATGGGATTATGCAGTATTTGAATAAATGAAGAAACACATTTCTGTTACCTATGATATTTGATTTACTTACATACATACATAGATCATTGGGACCTCTGGCCAGTAGATTTATTGGGCCAAAGGCAGACCAAAGGAATTAAACTATATTGAAGTCAATGGAGGATTAACAGCCAGATTGAGTTTGGCCTACTATGCCATTGACAAATGCATTGCATGCCTCTCTAGTAGGATATTTAAAATAGTTCACCACTGGCATAACTCTTCTCCCCCTAAAGCCAGTGATAAACTACCACTGACTTCACTGGGAGCAGAGCTAGGCCAGTGATGATAGTGCTTTTGAAAATCTCACCGTACTGCTGAAGAAAAAGTTGAAATGAAGCGTGATTCAAATCTGAATTATATCAAAAAAGAGCCAGCAAGTAAAAACTAGCATATATAATAATATACATTGGAGTTGCAGCTTTCATCTGAAAATTCCCCACATAGTTAACAAATGATGTCGTACATGTATAACACCACGGGGGTATCTCTGGGGTGGAAGGCACCAGCCAGCTGGAACATAGGACTCCACATATCACTGGAAGAAATTAGTATTTGGTTAAAGACAATGGGGGAATCCTTTAATCTCATGAAAAATGGTTCAGGATCTTTCATGTCCATACAGAGCAGATGGAATTGTGAGAAAGGCCTATGCAGAATAAACTATACAGTGCTCTGTTGATCTAAATTGAAAGGGAGAAGGATTATATTTACTCTCCTGAGAGGAAAAGTTATGTAAACCAGTACCTCTCATTGAGAGTAACAGTCTATCTGGGGGGTGTCTGGGCAGGGCCGCCCCTAGGGGGGTGCAGGGCCTGGGGTGAATCAGCCTGTATGGGCTCCCCTTAACATTTTTTATACAGGTGAAATCTGTTGTGGGGAGGGGACACCAGTGCTGGCGCCAGGACCCCACTAATCTCCCGGGCAGGCCTGGCTCCCCGAACTCCTAACCCCACCCCCGGGCCAGGCTAGCACCCGCCGCACGACACATGCACACTGAAGCATGGGGTCCCCCAAAGCACAGGGCCCGGAGCGGTTGTCCGATTCACCATACCCAAGGGATGGCTCTGTGTCTGGGCATGGCAGCAAGAAACTGGGTGGGCAAGACTTATTTTTGACACTAGCCTCCTCAAGAACGAGCTGAAGAAAAAGTTTTCTACTTTTTCAGAGGGCACTCTACATCAAGGGTCTAGCCAGGTGCTCTGAAACAACTGGTTCTGATACAGCTGGTCATGGTAACAAAGGGGATTAGAAGGTATTTACAATTGTAGATGGAAGAGACGCAGGTCTGAACATTGTAAAAATAAAGAGGAGCCCTGATCTTGGCCAGTGGTGGGAAAGGGGGTACTGTCCAATAGAGAGGTTAGGGTGATGTGTCGTGCTTCGATCTGGATTTAAATCCAGACTCTGTAGAGTTTTGGTTTGGCCTCCCCTCTTTATTGGCTTTTGTTGGAATATATTTTGTCCTGTGGCAGGGATGTAACTGCTATTAATTTGTATGTGCATCAAGGGGAGAATATAATCCTTGGTCTTATTCTGGCATGCGCTTTTCTCCGCAGTTAGAAATTAATCCTCATTGTTCCTACGTCTTTCAAAGGTTTGTATTGTGCTTATACAGCTTTTAGGGGCAGTATTTTAATCAACAAAGTTAGGAACAAATAAATGTACTGATTTCAATGCACAGGTACAGCACTAAAGAGCTTGCAAACCTGACCCTCTCCAGAGCTATATAGGAAACCACTAATGGATGACTCAGTCAAACAGTAGTCCAAGGAAGGAAGGAAGGAAGGCAATCACAATGCACTGTGTGAAGCAAAACCACTGGAACAATCACACAAGGAACCGGGCTCACAGCTGGATTCAGGATGGATGGTCAGTGAAAGAAAAGGCTGTTGCTCAGGGACATCATATTAATTACAGGGGAATGACTTCTCCTCTCCTCTAGCCTGAGGGATGAGGGTGATGGGCTGTCTTTTTTGGTGTGGGCAAGAAAGTCCACAATGACTCTCCAATTAGGACTAATTCCTCTCTCCACTCCACCACCATTCAAGGATGGGGGGGTTTGGGGCCTTTTCACCCCCACACTACTAAGAGAACAGGGTCTCCAAATTACCCCCAATCTCCTTTCTCCTGGGGTATGTGGGCAGTGATTTTTTTCTTGTTGGGAAACAGGGCCTCTGATCAGCATCCCTGCTCCCCTGTTCAGGGGTGGGGACCCATGCAAAGGTGTCTTCTCTACTCACACAGGGACTCCAGACAGTGATCTCTTTCACTATGTAGATGAAGAGTGTCTTCTCCCACCCCTTCTGGGTATGGGAATCTTATCCTCCATCTCAACCTACAAGAGGAATCTCTTCAGGATGAGTGCATAGTTACTTTTTTCCCCGTGAGTGATGGGACCTCTTCTCACCTAAACTCACTGGCCAGGACTTATTCCCTCTCCAGTCTCTTTGCTCTCCTTGGGTATATGGATGGTGTCTCTTTCCCCTTTTTGAGGGTGTGCGTTTTCCAATAAGGATCTCTTCTCCCCTCTTTGATGTTGGGATCCCAGGCAGGAGTTTCTTAGTAGGAAGGAGCATGAGGGTGGGCAGGGAGTCCTTTGCCAAAACTCTGCCACTAAGGGAAAGTCAGGATGATTTCCATGCCTCTGCTGAAGTCACCTTCTCCCTGCACATTGCCAATCCAGCCTGCCAGAGATGGGTTTTATCCTGCTTGGGCCTCATGAAGGTTTTTCGGAGGAGCAATTTTATGGCTTTAGGAGGCACCAGACTGTCGCAAATGTCACGGGTTTAATGAAAAAAAAATAATAAAAAAAAAGCCTGCACAGGATACCCCAAAGGCCCTAGAAGTTCTGAAAGGCACCCTCAGCCCCTTCCTCCATCCAGCCACCCCAGAATCATAGAATCATAGAATATCAGAGTTGGAAGGGACCTCAAGAGGTCATCTAGTCCAACCCCCTGCTCAAAGCAGGACCAATTCCCAGACCTTACAGTGCAGCCCTAGGGCTGTCCCACACGATCAATAGGCTCTGTGGATTTTCCCAAGGAGCAAGGTCTGAAAACGCCCATGGAGGGAAATGGCTATAATCTCGTTTGCCCAAATGTCTGCCTCCTGCCTGAGTGCAAAGGGACCCCACCTCTTCCCAGGGCTTGGATGCTCGCCCCCTGCCCTGGCTGTGCTGCAAGCCAAGGGGGGCGGGAGGGGGGACTTTGTGGGAGCCCCTTGTTAAAATATTGGTCACCACGACACGTGGGGCTGTCCCCCACCCTTTTAAGGCAGGGGATCCCCAGACGTGTGGGGCTGGCAGCAGCGGGGATTGGCTGCTGGCAAAGTGGGTGTGGTGGCCCCCTCTTGTCCCCTTACCCGCCCTGGAGCCCGACAGAGTTAGGGTGATGCTGGGGCTAAGAAAAGGGCAGTGTCCCCCCCCTGCTCTCGCTGCCTCTGCAGAAGCGGCGGCGGCCTCGCCCGCGCTCGGCCGGCAGATGGCGCCAGATCTCGCCGCTTGGCCGGCCGCCCGCGGGCAGCGCAGCGCGCACCTCCAGACAGGCGCACAAAGCGGCGGGGCGAAGCCGTCTCGGGGCTCGCCGCGGCTCCGACCCACAGGCAGGGAACGAGCAGCGGCAGCGGCTGCACGCGCCGAGCCCAGCGCCCCGGCCGGCCCGAAGGTAAGTGCCTGCAAACTTCGCGCTCCGTCCCCCTCTGCTGGCGGGCTGGCTCCTGTCCCCGGACGAGTGGCCGGGCCGGGCTGGGCTGGGCTGGGGGGGTTCTCTGGGGCTTCTGCGCCCCGAAGTTGGGGGAGGGCTGCAAGCAAAGGCAACTTCTCCCCCTCCCCGAGGGCAACGCCTGTCAGCCCCTGCCAGGCTGGGCGGCTTGCAGCTTGGTTTCGGGGCCAGGGGTGTTGCCCTGTTGGGGGGCTGGTTGGAGCCACCTCCCCATCAAGGCTTCCCCGGGCAGCGTTGCTGTGGCTGAGGCAAACTCCCCCCACCTCGCCCCCCAAACCTGGCTGCCGCTCACCCCCCAGCTCTGCTCGCTTTGCTGCTCCTCTCTTTGCAGATGACTAGGATAGTGGTAATTGTTGCTTGGTGTTTTCTGCAAGTGGAAGGCAGGCATCCAGAAACCCTCCCCAGTCACCACAACAATGGCAATTTCTTGGACAACGACAAGTGGCTGAGCACCGTTTCGCAATATGAGAAAGATAAATACTGGAACAAATTCAGGGATGTAAGTACTTCTTTCTTTACCCAGGCGCCTGCTTTTCAGTGCATTTCTCCTGTCTTTTAGTGGCAGCGGGTGGGAGAGAGAGAGCGAGAGAGGTGTAGTTGGTGCCACCGGTTGCTGCTGGTTGTTGTCCAGAGAAAGATGTTTTAAAAGCAGAAGCCATGGAGTAATCACACCCAAATGATCAATAGCATTTTGAGCTAGGTGTCAGCCAACCTATAAGAGTGTGATCTTGAATATTCTATCGGGGAGTAACTTTGAGAAGTTTCTCTGCCTGCTGATTAAGAGATCAGTGACTGTGAAACGTATTGAAAAATGTATTGATTCCAGACACAAGGTAGTAAACCCTGAAACCTTTTCTCATGCATAGGTGGTAGAAAAATAAAGCTGGCAATTGTGTGATCCGTTCTGCTCATGGATTAAGGAAGCAATTTTCTGAGAAAATTTTCCTGTAACAAAAAGCAGCATGAAATAACTTAAAGATCTTATAGCATGTCTCTATGCAATGGAATACGGCTACTTTGCACGGTTTGTTTCAGCGTATTATGCTGCACAAAGGAACAAGTCTTGAATTCCCATAGTTTCCATGCAGAGAGGTACAGTGAGGCAATGCAATAGGAGGTGAAATGTGTTTCCCGGTGCTCCTTTTGGTCTTAAGTGCTAACATTTGAGGTGAATATTGAGAGACCTGCTTGACTCTATTCAAGACTGAATAGGGGGCACATGACTACTAATGCTGACGATTAGCAAACACAACCTTGTTAAATATTCCTTCTTGCATATGTCTGCAGTGTGATTCTATAAATGGGCAATGAAAGAAGGGAGTGTAGCCAGCTGGAGGTTACATGGAAAGAACATTGTAAGGAAGGACTGGCACTATATATTATATTAAACATTTTATATTTTATGCTTTGCATCCTTGACATTGTGTTAGGTCTTGCAAAGAGTGGGGCAAGATGCAATAATTAAAATAGCATCTAATTGTCTGTTTTTTATAGACTAAATCTTAATTGTGGTTGTGGGTTGCTATCCTTTTGTTTTGGGTAGGCAGGTTGCTTTTTTTTTTTCTCCCCTGTGAAAAATTTCAGTGAAGATAACCTTTTTTTCATAGTCCTCAACATTTTTCTTTGAAAATT